GAAGGACATAAAACCTCACTTTTTCACGTCTGCGTTTTAGGCTCTTTGCACAGACGTACATAATATCCTTTATTTATTCATTTATGAGCACATTGGAATGATTATCTTCTTGCTTAATCTATAACGCAGATCGTACATGTAAGCCTTTTTGTTTATCAATTACAACTGATACTAGTATCCATATGTTGTAAAGTGCTTTAGAGTAATTTTACACATTATATAGGGCGCTATTTATATGTTGTTTATTATATTATGTATCTAAAGTTCAAGAGTAAAAAGCTAAAGAGCACTGTACCTATAAACTTCTTTACGTCACTTTACAACTGTTGGCTACATCAGATAATTTATACAGGCAGAGTTGTGCAGCACAAAATGAACCTCTGTTGTCATATTGAGAAAGGATTTTAGGTAGGTGATCACATTTTAGAATGTTGAAGTTGACATCAAATATAGCGCACGGCCAGGGAGGCCAGTTGTTGCTGCATCAAAGAGAACGTTTTGTTGTGAAATAGATAATTAAGGATGATTGTCGTTATACAGTTTCTGAGATTGCTCACATGATTGGCATTTCAGAAGTCAATACACATCACATTCTGATCGAGTGCTTTAAATTAGCCAAGCTTTAGGCCCGATGGATCCCCCTTTTTTCTTCACTGTCCTCTGTTTTCAGTCCAAAGAGCATTACTAAAAAATGAACTTGAACTTATTGGAAACCATAACCATTTTCATCTCACCAACTTACTATATGGCTGTCAAACATGTAAGAAGTGTAAATATGGAAATTCTTAGCTCTATCCTAAAATATATAGTTAAAGCTAAAAGATTTGTTGAATATCGAGTATAATACCAGGCAACTTGACACATTTTGAGTTAATATATATACACATGTATATATATTTGTAGATAATAACACTTATTTATAAAAACAACATCCATTCGTACAGGAGTACATCTCTGGCTGGTTATCATGATATTGTTATGCTTTCCTTTTATATTCTCCCATACTACTTATATCTTTAATTTTTAGTGTACATACTTAAGATCTGCAATTTTTCCATATATGTACTCAAATGCATTACTGTGAATTATACCGCAATAATATTTACTATGGATCCTGTACAGTGTTCAGTTGAAGACCTAAACGTAACACAAGGACTGTGCGGTCTTCAATCTGATATTAAAGCTTGTATACTACATGTATATGCGGTCTATAACCAATATATATA